TTTCCCTCTTAATGTGCTAATAGTTGTGCCTAAAAAAAATATGCAATTCTTAAAAAGGTACCATTTCTGATTTCTTTATTATCTGTAACCTTTGGAAACTAATCACATGAAACTACAAAATTAGCAAATGTCTTGAAATCTGTATATAAAACATAAATTACCTCTAATTTCAAACTCTCATTTATTAGTGTACCACTCAATCTTAAAAAACAAAACAAAACAAAAACAAAAACGAAAAAGAAAAAAAAGCGGCTCCAAAGATAGTCTTATACCATTCTTTAAAAAAGGAAACTGTTCCTTTTAACTTTACACCCACCCCATAACCCAATTTCAAAACACATCATTTAATTGTCTTGGTCATGAACATTTCCAAGATGAGATTTTATATTTCGTTCCCATAGCTTCTGGTTATCAGAAAACCCATGTTTTCCTTTATTGAAAGAGTTTGGTCCAGCTGATGTTGGTGTATCCCTGTATTAAAAGAAAATAAATTTATTTAAMATTCTATAGATATTTTAATACACATTTACTTGGTATCTATTATAAACACAAGCTGAACATCAAAAAAGACTCTATAGAGCAAGGCCCTGAGCAACTTAGCAAGACCCTGTCTCTAAGTAAATAAAAGGGCTGGAGATGTACCTCAATGGAAAGTGTCCCTGGAGATCAATAGCAAAGTGTCCCCTGGGTTCAATTACCAGTATCCCTACCCCAAAAACCTCTACATAGATTTTTAAAAAATACTATTTCCAAAGATAGTTCAAAGACTTTTTTTGGGGGGGGGGTAGGAGAGGTACTAGGGATATAACGCAGGGGTGCTTAACCACTGAGCCAATTTCCAGCTCCTTTTTGTATTTTATTTAGTGATAGGGTCTCACTGCATTGCTTAGGGCCTCACTGAGTTGTTGAGACTGGCTTTGAACTCACAATCCTCCTTGTCTCAGACTCACAAGCTGCTGGGATTACAGGTGTGCATCACCACACCAGCCAGTTCAAAGACTTTAAATTCGGTAGGCCTGAGGTGGGGTAGGAAGGCAAAATTGCTTTCCCCCAACCCTGTTTTCCAACATTGGTCATGATGCATCCCTGATACTAAAAATATTTTCCAAAGGAAAAGGACACGTAAGATCAAGATTAAGTGGTAGGAATATCATTGTATCATTTTGAGTGTAGTGAGTAAAACCCACTTTTCTATTACACTAGAAAAAAATTGAAATTTAAAATCAGAAACATCTTCATATCTTTCTCTTATTTGAAAAAATATAGGTTACAAGTATCTGAAAAGAAATATCCTAATTTGGGCATCTGTAATTTCAGCTCTCTGGGAGGSTGAGGCAGGAGGATCCTGAGTTTAAAACCAGCTTAGGCAACTTAGGGAAACCTGTCTCCAAAAATAAAAAGGGCTGTTGGAGAGTATACAGGGAAGAAGTATACTCAGACATTGCTGATGGGACTGCTAATTGGTGTAACCACTACGGAAAGCAATATGGAGTTTCCTCAGAAAACTTGGAATGGAACCAC